TAGGTATTCTTCTGCCTGACAGTTCTTGAAACATCTGAGGCCATGCTCCTTTGCTCGCTCTATAAGCAATCTTATCTGAGTCTTTTTGTGCCTTTGTATCTGTGCCCAGGCTACAGGAAGGAGCCGAGTGAAGTTTTTTTGTTTGTTTGTTTTAAGATGATTTGTTCTCAAAGTCTCACACACATCATGCATTAAAGGGATTTATGGCTCCTATTTTTCAGGGATGTGGTGGTAGTGCAGCTTCTTGTATTCAGTAATTTGCAATTCAGTTGGTGCTAAGAAAAATCTGCAGTGAATTAGGTGAATATCTTGAATATCTTCAAGATTCATAAAACTTTGGAGCAGGTGCTGAAATTGCTGATCAGTTGCTTGGAGTTGAATATGTACATACCCACAGACATCCCCATCAGCCCTTCTTGTGACAGGCCTGGCCCAGGAATTGTTTGAAACCACAAGTTTAGAATTCCTTGCAAAACCTTACCATCCCCTTCCTAAAGCTTCTTCAGTAGCACTGAGCTGCAGCCAGCATGAAGAAAACCTGGTACCTGTCCACTGGCAGAGTACAAGAGGCAGCTGAACTTGCATGTGCTGAGATACTGCAGAAAAACTGTGGTGTGACATCCACTTCACTGACATGGCCAGGCTATATTCCATCCCCCATCTAGGCTTACAGATTTTGCCTCTGGAGAGCTAGGGCACAAGGATAGAGATTGAAAAATGTCTGGGTTTCATCACAGACATAAGCCATGAATCTGGAATGCACGTCTTTGTTTGGAAAATGCAGAAGTGGTCCTGGGTTCCAGCATTGCTACAGCTCTGTGTTGCCTGCTACAACATCTACTAAAAACTTTCCCGGATTTTAAACCTATTTGTCCAGGAAAAGGCTGATACCTTGCTCTTCTAATATGAACTTGCCTTAGAGTAAAAAATGTGACATTCAGAAATACGGATAGAGAAGTGTCACGAGATAACGCCTCAGGGCTTGTCTCTCTATTTAAAGTGTATTTATCTCAGGGAGTTCTCTGACAATTAGGCAGTGGTTGAGGAACTTTAGCCTGAAATATTGAGGGAGGTAATAGGGCACCTATTCACTCTTAGTTAATCCCAAAGGGCAGCCTCACTCCTGGTCTGCTGGGATAACTATGAGTACAGCAGAGATGTGACCAGGGCATTAGAGACATCACCTCAGGGCAGTTTAGCTTGATTGTAACAAAAGCAATGTGATTATCTTACATCTGGCCTGCTACACAGGGAAGAATTAGATATATTTAAAAATTAGTCAGTACAATGTTAAAGAAAAACATGGTATTTTAAAATTTACTTTAAAATAAATCTCTCAAATTTTCCATCCTCCAAAGTTTATTAAAGAAAATTGAATTGTGCTAGAGTCTGTATCCTGGTCATCCTGCAGTAAATCCAATGCTAGCAACACAGAATGAAGCTGATTATCAGGTTGATTTTTTTTCTCATTGTTTTTCTATACCAGGCAATCGTGTTCTATATGACATTTAACACACTGATCAGGCATGACTTTAAAACTGCCCACATGGCTGTTTCTGTCTTTGTTCTGGACAGCAGCACACATCACCTCCTATTTTTCAGCTTCCAGTGCTGAGGAATTCAGTTGTCTTTGTTCTTGAGCCAAATGTAGTCTCTTCACTTAGAGTAGCCACCTATCCCCTTAATGATCTACAGTCCTCCACAGAGACACACTGTTCCCCCTGCTGCCCATCTCTGCACCTATTCAAGATGTTTTCATCTACAAAAAGTATAAAAGGCCCAAACTGTGCAGAGTTCCCTTGGGTTTGTGTTGCCAGGTTTTGGTAGCAAGGGGCTCCAGGAGAGCCTTGTGTGAGCAGCTGCCAGAAGCTTCCCGTGTGTCTGACAGAGCCAACGCCGGCTGGCTGCAGGTTGGACCCACTGCTGGCCACAGCTGAGCCCATTAGGGATGGTGGTAGAGCCTCTGGGATAACAAACTGGAATAGGGTAGGGAGGAGGAGAATGGCTGTGGAAACAGCAGCCAAAGAGAAGAGTGGAAACGTGAGAGAAACGGCTCTGCAGACACCAAGGTCAATAAAGATGGAGGTGGGGAGGTGCTCCAAGTGCCAGAGCAGATTGCCCTGTTACACATGGAGGTCCATGATGGAGCTGATAGCTGCTTTCTACCCCAGGGAATCCCATGCCAGAGACACGGTGCCTGAAGGAGCCTGTGACCCTGTGGGATGCCTGTGCTGGAGCAGGCTCCTGTGGAAAAAGGAGCCCACACTGGAGCAAGTTCTCTGGCAGGACTTGTGACCCATGGGGGCCCCACTGGAGCAGCCTGCTCCTGAAGGGATGCACTCAGTGTAAGGGATCCCACACAAGAGCAGTGTTTGAAGAACTATAGCTGGTGGGAGGCTCTCCAGTTGGAGCAGTTCATGGAGGCCTGACTGTCTCCTGTGGGAGGGACCCCGTGCTGCAGCAGGGAAAGTGTGTGAGGAGTTCTCCTGCTGAAGAGGAAGGAAGAACAGAGACGGTGTGTGATGAACTGACCACAGACCCCATCTCCTGTCCCCCTGCATCTCTGGGGGAGGAAGCAGGTAGAGCATTCAGGAGCCAATTAAGTCAGAAAAGAAAGGAGGTTGGGAAAAAGTTGGTTTTAAAATGTTGTTTTATTTCTCAATATTCACTTTAATTTGATGGGTAATAACTCTTTTTTCCCCAAGTCAAAACTGCTTTCCTGCCACAGTAATTGCTGAGAGATGTCTCTCTCTCCTTATCTACACCATGAGTCTTGAGCAGTGCTTCTCCCCTGCCCAGCTGCACAGGGGAGTGATAGAGGTCTCCCATGGGCACCTGATGTCCAGCCAGGGTCAGCCCACCACCAGAGTACACTGTATTTATATTCAGGCATTGGTAGCTGGTGACAGAGACTAGGCAATAGCAATTTGCTATCTGATATAACTTTTATTCAGACTATTTATAGAAATCACATCTATTTCTTACTATTTTTCTGAAGTGAAAACGTTCAGTGTAAGGTTTGACTGTACTGTATTTACTGCAGAAGAAATAAATAATTCAGTTGGTATTTCTAAAAATATAATTACTTGATGAGTCAGAGAAGAATTTAATTTTTATAAATGTTAAGGCTGGAAGACTGGGATTATTATGATCTGTGTGTCTGACCTGTGACTCTCTCATATCTTAGGAGGCTGCCTGGTAATTCCTGCATCAATTTGTAATTAAGATGTATGATTTTTCAGAGGAGATTGAATAAAGGGCCCAAACCACATGCTTGAGATGTTCTGAATATTATTTCACACAAACAAACAAAAGGTACACCTCACAGACAAGCCCAAATGTTGTGACTCATAATTTTAATTTAAAAATTCAAGATTATTAACATTTATTAATTACTGATAGTTCAGTGCAAATTTTTAGAGCATCATACATAACTGTGAACCACTATGTCTGTGTGTTTGTATATCTATATATATTTATACATATAAAGCAACAAAACATATTTCTATTTATGGGAATCTAAGTCTTACCAAGAACCTGTGTCAGCCATGGGAGATGTGTAAATAGAAAAGGAAGCAGCTGGGATAAAATGAAAAACATAAACTAATCAAACTCTAGACTGCAATAAAAGCTGCCATGAAAGAAGAAAATTAAAACCAAAAATTCACACCACACAGAGGAAAAGATCAATATTTTATCGACTGACAACAGACTGCTATGTACTCATTGGTCAGTCATTATCCATATTGATTTTTATGCCACTGCACTTCGGCCCTGGCTTAGCCATGCACACATATTCTTCCTATTTTTCCGTTTTTCTACCTAGAGTAATGACTGTCTTCAATATGAATAAAGGCCACTCAAGTCAGCCAAATAACTCTATGCACTCAAGGTCAGAGTCTGAAGAAGAATGACTTAAAGACATCCAAGATGAGGACTCAAACTCTGCTGGACAGTGCAGAACCTGCCATTCCTAACATCACTGATCCATCCACAATGGCCCAGTACAGGAACCAGGCCACTGCAACAACACTGTGGAAAAAGGAAGAAGATAGGTGTTTGTAACTCAGCTCTAGATGACCTTTAATCATAGACATTTGAGTTCTGGAACTCAGCAAGCAGGTGTAAAGGGTGGCCACTTAGAAACAAAGGCCTTGTAGTACAAGCAAGAGCTGCCTGGCTTGCAGTGACAATTACTAATTCTTGACATACTGTTAAAAACACATGTGGCTAATGGTGAAATGAATCAGGAATTAGTTCTGGAGAGTTGATAGCCTGCTGTCCAGAAACAGGAATTTGCAAGCAGAGGAATGAACTGTGACTCAAAGACCAAGCAGGTAGGGTCCTTAATAGGGCTTAACTGCCGGCAAATGAAGTTTTGAATGAAGGAAAGTACAAGGTTAAAGGGACCTGTGTGAGTTGACTCTTGCATCAACTAATAAAGAAAGTATATTTTAGACCTGTATTTGAAGGTATAGCAAAGACAGTGGAAACAGACTCTTAAGACATATTAGTTATGGGAAAATGTATGTCAGCACTATTCAATCTTGGGCACTCCTTAACTCCTGCAGTAGCTGAAAATATGGGTTTATTTATGTTCTAGAGCAGCTATGCCTAAAAATTTAGGTACGGTTACCCACTTTTGGGAAAGAACCTGTGCTGTAGTGTTTTGGGTGACTTCTTTGGGGAGCAATACCAGTAAGGGAAGGAAAGTGACATTTTTTCCATTGAATTGGCCCTTGGAATAGACCTTTCTGACTCTGTACTCTTCAATGTGTAAGCATCTCCTACTCACAAGTTCTGCCTGCTTTGTCAGCATCTTTTTTGCTCAAAGTATCGAAGAATATATTTACTTCAACTTACTTCAGTGTTATGATCCAAGAGAAAAATTCTTGTGCCCAGCTTTCTATGCCAAGATCTGCATCTGTGAATCAGTGCTAATGCCTCATCTTTATTTACATGCCAAACAGACATTTCAGAATCCTCCTTGGTTCAGAGGTGATAAAAAAATAAATTTTTAAGCTTCTAACAGCAGAGTGCAGTGTGTTACAAGGAAAACCTAGTGGAGTCCATCTTTAAGTATATACAAATCTTTTCTGCATTGTTTTATTAACCAGTATGGGGGGTTGTTTAATTTTTGTCTATAAAGAGTTGAGAACTATGATGACCTTAAACTGCTGTTGGAAAGTTACTTGAATGACTAAATAAGTGTAGTACATTTAATCTGGTTTTCTTATAGCAGATCAATGAACTACATTGCTACAGAGTGAGAACAATGCAGCTGTACAGCTTTCCACAGAACTATGAAGCAGAGCCACATTTGTGGCAAAGGATGTCATCCTGCCGAATGAGGAATTCCTGGCCCACCAGGGAGATGGAGCATTTTGTGCAGCTAAAGCATTCCCCGTGCCACTGACGCTCCTCAAATGAGATGTATTTGGCACCTCCGAGAGCTGAAAAACAGTATGAAAAAAAAAAGGAAGAAGATCTGAATCCAGTATTTCTAGGCATGGTTCAGTAATGCAACAGAGGACTTTCGGATGCGTGATCAGGTTGTCATTCACATAGCAAATGGAAAAATGAACAAAAATCCATTAAAATTAAACACAATGTTTAATGTACAATAGTGTGAAATACTCTTTATTGGCTGAATTGAAAAATAACTTTAAAATTTAAACAGTGGGAAATACTTCAAGCAAAGCCACAAGTCGCTTGCATATCCCATTACGAGATCTGAACACAATGGGTTTATCAGAAAGTCCATTCAGGTTTGCTGATCTTCCCAACAAACTCTCATGGAAGCTATTTGCAATATGTGTATAGTTTATATACAACTCTGAATGAAATTTAATAATTTTGGTTTTGTTTTTTTTTTTTTAATCATGCATATGTGATTGGGTATTCATTGATTTCTTTGTCCAGTGACATATGCAGCATGCACCTGTAAGAATCAGGAAGTACTTTTCAACAGCTGACTCCACACATAATAGGATTAAAGTGCAGAACACCAGCAAATGCTCTCAGAAAACTTCAGCTATCATAGGCCAGTGACAAACATGTTTAATTATAAATCATATATAAGTATACAAGGATTCATGAAATAGAACTCTGATGCATTTGGCAAGCTTTCTAATTTGACAGGTGTGTCTTACCAACAGGCAGTTAATCTGTGTTCAGTTTGATCAAATTTGCATTTAAAAACAAAACTGAAGAAATCACAGAGGGGCTTGTGTGTACTGTCCTGGGAAGAACAAAAAAGCACCTTTTAAAATATTCTTAAGGAGGAATTTTACTACAGAAAACACTACCTCAAAAAAACAGAGGAACTCCTTTGGGCACATAAAGCAACTCCTCATCCATTAGGGAGCATGTGTGATCAGTATGTCCTAGCAAGATACAAGACATGTGACACAGAGAGAGTCTGATAGTTAACTCCTTCAGTCTTTCATTATGATGGGAGTAATCTTAATGTTTTTTTTTCCTAAAGTGAAAGTCTTTGTTGGGAGGAGACTGATGATTCATTTCTGTCTGGTCCCCTCTAGAAGATGAGACACACCTGTAATAGGCGTCTTGCAAGCAGCACACTTCTTGGCATGAAATTTGCTGAAGCAGTCTACACAGTATGGGTACTCATCTTTGGAAATGAATCTTTGTCGAGACAGCTGAGTTTTACACACAGCACACACAAAGCATTCTTTATGCCAAGGCTGGTCATGGTAGGTCACTCCTCCAGAAGTTATAACCTAATGTATTGACAAAGAAGGGCAGAGCAAAGAAACAACGGTGTGAATAATGACATAAGTACTTCCACTTGTTTTCTCTCTTTCAACATGCACAAGAGAAGAGAGAGTGGTTAACTTTTTTCATCTGGATTATCCATTTAACTATACTGCAGTTGAAGTCCATATGCTACTTGTTTGTTATTTTCAATTTTCGACCTCAGTATAACCTCATAATTTGTAATAAATATATTATCTTTAATTTTTTCTATTATACTGTAGATAAGATTAGATTAGATTAGATTAGATTAGATTAGATTAGATTAGATTAGATTAGATTAGATTAGATTAGAATCAGGCATGCTCTGAGAAAATAAATTCTCAATGATAGTGGGTGAGAGAACTGATGCTGAGATAATAGTTAATCTCCCACCAGTATTTTTCTGTCTCTCAAGTGCAACAGTATTTTAAATAGGAAGAAAGACAGTAAAGAAACAGAAGTAAAATAGAACAGAGATCTACACAGTCAGAAGAAGAAAAAAATCATGTTTATCAGTGTCATCAACTTCTGTTTTCCAGCAACACACTTACAGCTCTGCACTGGTTATTTCTGAAGAGGGAAATTTCCAGTTGTTCTGTGGCTCCCATATGTGTGGTAAAGAGCTGGTTTCACAGAATTTGTGAGAGACTACAGAGAAATTTCTATAAAGGTGAGCTGTAAGATAGTGTTTCTACTATCAAGTCACATGCATGACAGGAAATTAATGAATGAGTGAATGAATGAATGAATGAATACTGTTGAAATAGGAGAAAAAAATTGAAGAAACTTAAGTAAAAATAGTGGTATCATCAAATTTCCCTGGGGAATACAGTTTCAGGAAAATCAAGAATAATATAGGATCAAGCAATAAAGAGATTTAAACAGTTTCCAATCCCTTTAACATTCCAGTTTTGGGCTATTTTGTGGTTACCTTTACTTTTCCATTAAAATCTAAAAATCACTGACAAAAATTCAAGATTCATTTTGGCAATTTAATCTATTTGGGCTCAATTCTCATGTATGGGAATAGATGCAAGTTTCAGAAAAAAAATGGTTTTAGCTGTTATGTAGAGGGACTATTTATATTCCTAGAAATTATAAGAAGCAAATCCTGATTATTTCATGTAGGAAGTGCTAACATCAATGCCTGTAATAAACATCAAACATAATTACTATAATTGCCATGTGTTCATTTAATGCAAGTTAAAGCCTGGATGTAGAGACATGGGAATATATAAAAGTACTTTCTAAAGTTTAACTACTGAAGGAAAAAGTAGGCAGGATATTTTCCTGAAATTAAAAGCTTTTGTTAGAGGTAAAGGTTTGCAGGTAATCATGACATAACTATAGGAAATTATAGGAATATAATTCCTATAATTATAGGAAATATACATGGGAATATATAAAAGTACTTTCTAAAGTTTAACTACTGAAAGAAAAAGTAGACAGAATATTTTCCTGAAATTAAAAGATTTTGTTAGAGGTAAAGGTTTGCAGGTAATTACATAACTATAGGAAATTTGATGAAGCAGAAAAAAAAATAACTTCCAGAGTAATGCAGGTACTAAAGAATAAATAAAATTCTGCCCTAAAAACAGCTTAAAACATTTCTCTAGAGAAAAGTATCACACTTGAATAGTATGATGCTTTTCATCAACAACAGGCAATCTTAAAACATGAGAAGTCAAGGGAGGGAAGAACTGATTTATCTGTACTTGGGAGAAAAAAGAAATCAAATCAAGTTTTCTGGTGCCCATAAAGGTATCATCACATATTGCATCAGTGGAACTCCTGATTAGTGTTATCACAATTGAATGTTACTTGATCTGCTAATTGCCTGATATATTTCAAGAAAAAATAGTCAAGATTGTGGATGATTTGCTCATTTGAGGTGGCTAATTATGCATATGAATAAATCTGAAAAATTATGGAAAGAGAGACATGTTTACAAAGGCAAAATCAGGTATTTTCAAGAAAGAAGGGTTATGTATAACTTTCCATTTAATCTTTTCTAAAAGTCACAATCAATAACTAATAATCAATAGCCCAAAGCATTTGTTTTGGCAGATATAATCGATCTTAGATTAACAAGAGTGAACAGCAGACACTGTCACAGTTGCCTTTCAGTGTCCAGTGTCAATGGGAAGATTCCGATATTACTCTTAGTTCACCACATATTTCACATAATCCAGCCCTTTCTCCCATGAGCAATATTGCCTCATTAGGGCATTTTTTGTATTGCGCGTTTAATTACCTTTTTGCAAGCATAGCAATGGTGAGCAAATTGCTTCTCAAAACAGGGCACACAGTAATTCTCATTGTCTTTGGTGATTAATGGTTTTGTTCCCAATGGTTGCTGACAATACTGGCAAACAAAACAGGATTCATGCCAGGAACTTCCCTTAAATTCCATTTTACGTGAACCTGAAAAAAACCACAGTGAACAATCCTCTCAGATATAGCCTTGTAATATAAGTTTTAAATGTTGGGAATACTCTTGGTTTTGAACCTTCTACCTCAGCATTGGATTACCCAAGAAAACAGTAAATTTAAATGTAATAGTGCTTTGAAGAATGCACTTGAAATTTCAAGAACACATCCAGTGCCATATATTCATCTGGCAAAAGATAGGCTGAATTGCCTAAGCTGCGATTTTTAGAGTCTGTTATTATAAGAATCTTTTGGGGTTTCTTTGTGATATGCTTGAATTACTCAGTTTCTCTTAAAGCAGCCAACTCAGTGATAATGTTCAGTACACAGCACTGTTATAAATTAGAGATTAACTTGTTGGATGTTTAGTATATTTATTATTGTCCTATCTTCTCTCTTTCTTAAATTAAGGCTCCTTTACTTATAAATGCATTATTTATCTTAATCAGCTTAAATTGGCAACTTTCTAAAAAGAAATATTTTTTTCTGTGATACTGCACATTACTGCACATTACTGCACATTATTGCACATTACTGCCTTCTCCTATAGCTCACCATTTCTGTCCTAGACCAACAATTCTTTTTATAATATTTAACTAGATGCTCTTGATACAGCACAAGAACAGAAAGTTGCTCAGTTAAATGTTTGTCAGAGGAGTTTTAGAGCTTTTATCACTGTATGTAGGTGTCCTATCTTCATATAGAAACACAAGTCTGTTACGCACATATATCTGGGAGAAATATTTCCAGTGGATCTCCATCCTTAATTTCTTATCTGTGAATAGCATCAGACTGAACTTAGAGGTGCAAGGTGCTTTACCATCCTTTCCACATGAAGAAGACTGCTGCTATAACTGATCAGTTCCACTGTACCTGTTTCCTGAAAAGTGGGGCCAGTGGAGAAACTACTGGCTGTATTTAGATACAAAAGGTTTACACTTTCATCCCAGTGATCAGAAGGACAATTTCACTGTCCTTCACAACTCAGAGCTAGCAAGCTGATGAGAAGGAAGTTAATGATACTGAGACAGGCTGGCATACCCATGCCACTGTTGCACTGTTTCTCACACCTTCAGGCACTTGCTGCAAGGATTTAGACTCTGTGACAAAACAAGAAGCATGGATATACACCAGAAGATAATAATACAAACCTGAGTATATTCTGGCACCTTTTTGACCACATCTAGTGGGGTATGCCTATTTGACAACATTTTTGTAAACCATATACTATTCAAGTAGTTTATAATGCATAAAATGAACACAATTATATTGTTAAAATATTTGTTTCCACTAATGCAGGTTTTACTTGTAATGAAAAGGAAACAAACTGTAAAAATACAAACTAGTGTTACAGATTGTATACAACCTGAGTAATCTAGTACCAGTAGTAAAACTATAATTTTGCACAGCCTGAATCTTACTGTTCAGCATTAAGAAATACTGAAAAATAAAATTCTAACTGCAAAATTTACTGATGTTCTCTGTTTCAAACCTTATGGACACACTTTCCTAAGCAATCAGCTTCTTTTTGCAACAAATGGTGCTGTGGCTTCTCTCAGGTGCCTGTGAAGAGGCAGCTTTTGTGTAGTCACTCTGCTTCATGAGCTTTACTGATGTGGTAACAATGAAAAGTCTAGAGCATGTCCTGAACAGACACAATCAGAAGCTGAGAAGCAGTTTAGTGGAATGTGCAGAATTTTCAAGATTGCTAATGGCAGGAAGTAAGCCTATTGCAAACATGGACAATATTGTAAAATGGACTTGTATTCATTTTAGTAAAAATGCTGCTAATGATCTGAAAGCAAATTGTCATGTTTTGACAATTTAAACAAAAAATATTTCTGAGTGAAAGCACTAGGATAAAGAACACAAACACAGGGTCTGGTCAATGTGGAAAACATGCAGATGATTTATCTAATCTGGCACTTCTGCTCACAATAGCTCTGTTTGTCTGCTTATGCTCACAGTGGGATATGCTTCCTAAGAACTGCAACAGAATCAAGGACATCACATGGACACATTTTACCCTGCATTGAACTCTTAATATTTTTAAAAGGATTCATAAGACCTGTTAGTGATCAGAAGTGTCTGCCTGCCTTCTCCCCACTGCTGGGAGAATTCCACACAAAGGAAGAGTAGTCTCCTCCAAGCTGTTCTGAAAGTCAAGGGTCTTGTAACTTGGTTATTCCAGGAGGTGGTTATCATTAAAAATGTGGTTCCATTTCTCAGCAAAGGGCCCCTGTTGTCTTACCAGGCATAATGGTCTTCTGGCAGTGAAAACACTTGGATGAGTACTCATCAGAGTAGCACTCGGTGCACAGCAAGACCTCGTCCTTGGCAGCAAAGGGTTTCTCCACGAGTGAGCGACTGCACTTGGCACACCTGAAGCACCCCTCATGCCAGTGGCGGCCTTTGTAGGCCAGATCCTTGGAGAAAGTAAGTCCATGTTAGTGAGAATATTTATTTACAGTGGTTTTATCCTTCAATTCCTTCCAGAACTAAAACAAGAAAGGAAGAGCATCGCAGGGGCGGACCCAGCCAGAAGTGTGCTCAGGGAAGAGGCAGGTACTCAGTGTCACATTGTTGTGTGGATCTCTTGCAGATGCCATTAGGAGCTGCTTTGACAGAATGTCCTTCCTTATGTAACTACAGAGGTATGTTTGTATTGGAAAAACAACATTATATATTACAGTTGTCTTTTAAGGGGAAACGAGTGATCAACATTTTTAATGTGCACAGACCACTGGAGAGGAAGTCCATATTCTATAGAATTTGAAATTAATATTTTCAGTGTTACTACTTCCAGCTGACATGACAGAATGCTGTTATGTCAGAAATCAAGCAATTAAAATCTTATTGAGAACAAAATAATTATTAGCAAGATTAAAAAAAATTCCTTTTGATATATCTGATACATCTGATATAAATCCCCCTGAAAACTTGGCAGAAAAATGTTTGTTTAAGAGTCAGTGGGCTTAAGGGATGAAAGAGCTAACAGTATATATATGAGATCCTGACTAAGAACTCAAAAAAAAAAAAAAAAAAAAAGACCAAACAGCAGATTTAATTTCCCCACCGTTAGAAAAGATAGGGAAAAATGCACCTCCAAAAAACCCTCCCAGCTTAAAAAATAAACACTTCCAGGACTCTTTTATAAGTAAGAAACATAAAAGGGCACAAATCCAATCTCATTGTTCTCCTTGATCATGTCCCTGCCTTTTAAAGAGCTAAAAATAAAAGAAATACCATGCTTCACTTCAGGAGGTGCTGAGCATTTACCAGTTGCATTTGCTTTCGTTAGCACTCTGAACCTTGCAGGAACTCGGCTGTCAGCCCAGAGCAGCCTGAGGCAAAGACTGAGTGAGGAGGAGAGGAAGAAAACCAAGCTCTAACCCCTTGGCAGAGGTGAGACAATCAGCTGTAGATCTCTGTGTGCCACTTTTCTAGATGTCTCTAGCCAGGTGCACTCCTTTCTTACACGTCTGCTTTTTCCTCTCATTTTTCCCTTCCATTCAGTCCAAAGACATGGCTTTTTGTTTATGATCCTCAACAAGAGTAATCCTGTCACTTATTTAATTTTTAATTTTAAAGATGAAATTAAGTGAACTCAAAGCATGTGTTCTCCTGGTGAATCTGACTGCTGCTACGTGTACAGTGTTGCTGTGGGTGAAATGCTGATGAGAGTTTGAGGAGTGTCTTCAACCAAATCAGCATTTTCCTTGGATGATTCCTGGATGTAGACTATGTGCTTTGAAGTGCTTGGGCTGGGAAAGCCTTCCAATATGTTTATTTTAATATATTTCTGTCCTTTTATTTCTAAGGAACATAAGCAAAGAAAGCATGGGGAGAAGGTGACCAGTACACACTGAACTTGGCAAAATAAATGATTTTTGATAGGTTTCATTTGACCTTAAAATTCAATGTCAAGTGTATGTCCTCTATATTGAAGTATGGGGTACTAGAAACCCTGTCAAAAACCACAGAAGAGCTTGAATTATTAATTAATATTGTAAAAAACTGAGAGGTGAAAGACAGGCAGCAGAAACACTGCCACTAATATACCATCTGTGAGATGAGCAAGGTAAGCATGGAATTTAGCAGAAATTAAAAAATACTTTATTTCCAAAAGAGAGAGAGAGAATATGCAAATTATAAACGTTGTCTTCTAAGCTTGGCATCTGCTTGTCAACACCTACAGTAAAAGTAATTTATTCAATGCTCAAAACATTTATTCAATGAACATGTCTCAGAAATTCTGAGGTGTCAATCAACCTGATACACTGAATTGCACCATCCACCCTATCACCCCTCCAGCACTGTGCAGCCCCTGCAGCCAATGAGTGACTGGAGGTGAAGGATGGAGCTTAGCTGAGGTCCACACACCCACCACAGCCTTGCTGTAAACCTGGGGCATATGCATGTGCAGATTTCCTCATCTTTGATCCCAGAGCTTTCCTTTTTCATGGAAAATAGCACTGTTTCACTCTGCTGTGTGTGGATGTACAACAGCTATGGCTAGGTCTCTTCAGCAATACAGGGATATGAAAAGGGGTGGATATCAAATCTACCATTAAAGAAATTTGATTTGTGTATAATTTAACAAGGAACAAAAAGTTCAAGCCAAATCTTTACCTTGGAGTTGCACTCAATGAGCTGCTTGCACTCCTGGCAGGGGTTGGCATACAGGCTGTCATAGCACGGAACACAGTAAGCATTTTCTTCTCTTAGTGCATATTTCCTGCCACGGAGGGACTGCAGGCAGAAATGACAATCTGTGTGGCTGCTGGTCATCCTGCTGGGACCCTCCACGTGATCTGCAAAAGATGGAAAAGTCGTGTAATTCAGTGCATAATGCTTGCTCAAATACTAAGTAATGCTGCATTACCTGTGAAAGACAGGCATTTCCTGGTCATTTGCAGTGCCCTGGATTTCTTAATGCTGGCTTGTTCAACAACAAAATGGTAGCCTTTAACAACATATACTGTGAATTGTATCACTTACATGATGAGGAGCAAGAGGGCTGCTTCAGCTTATTCTAACGCTGTTTCAGGCCAGACACCTGAAAATGAAGCCAACTTCACATTCCCTACATAAAACTACTGGCATTATGAGCATTATGTACTGGATCCTGAGATATACTTCATCCAGAAATTGGGTAATGGAGATAGAAGCAATAATTCAGAAATGAAACCAACTGCAGAGTTAAAAGGCCAAAGAGAAGAGGCAGGCACTTTGTAGTGTGTTCCTGACTTGCTCTTGATACTCGTGTCCTTCTACTCGTTCCTTTCTTTTCAAAATACCCCCACATCTACCTGACCCAATGGAAGGAAGACAAGGGGCTCCAGGATATATGACTGTTTTTTGCATTATTCCAACTGTGCTGCTAATATTTGGCGACATTTTAAAGTCACACAAATATTCCCGGAGAGTAAAAGAGTAAAATATAAAGAAAAATAAACTAAATAGCAAGTCAAACAAAATCAGAACTCAAAGAAAGTTTTCCTTGTTGTTATTGGAAAAGATTGTTTTTCTTACATTTTTCTTTATTTCTATATTGGATTCCACATTGGCAGTACCAAAATAATGTGAAATAGTTTATATTTCTGTGCCAGACAAGTGCAGGAAATACCACAAATCTATTGAGAATCAGTTGTATGAATTTCCCATCCTTCAGTTTTTCAGGCTTAAGAGGCTTGGACAAACATCCAAACCTCAGCTGCTTATAGATCTGCAATAATAGATGTTTTAAGAATTGTGGATTTTAAGCCCTATTTCAGTCTTCTTATTGCTGGTTGGATCATCATCTCTTTGCTAAAATTGGGTCTTGATTCTTGGAAATGAAGGAAGAAGAAACCAGAAAGTTCATAGTGAAGCAACACCGAAAACATCTGCTGGGCTCATTGGGTTGCACTCTTCATTAAACTCAATGAGTGTATCTGCAGCCAGCACCAGCAATCATTAATTTTAGAGGAGTTGAAAACAACTGGAGAAGGTCTAAAATATTTATGTGTCAGTGACTTTGGGCAGCTGAAATTTTTGCACTTTGAATAACAGGGCAAATTAGTTTCTCTTAACCAGATGCAGAGCCTGAGAATAAAGTAGAACATGCAGAAGACAATATAAGAACATAGAGAAAATTTGAGGGAGTTCTTATCCATGACAAAGCCTACATCTAGCCCACTTAGAGTTGCAACCTCACACTTTGTTTTTATGCACTCACTGATGGCCTGAACCATACCTACAGTTGAGCTTTAAAAAGGCATAAAATATTTTCCTGGGTTTCTGCTTTGGTAAGCTCTAAACCAAAATGGTTGTTTGAGCTGTGAGAAAAAAGCAATTACTGCAGGTTTCCCCTAGCACCAACGCATAAGGCCAGGCATTTATGAATCTGTTCTGGGAGATGTAGTAGTAAAAAAGTGAAAAGGGGGCAGGGAGAGCGGCTGTCATACTAATTTCAGACCAAAAGTAATGACTTGGCTAGAAAGCTTGTTGTTCCTATAAATTGAAAATCTTTGGGGTTGAATTGATATATGGTATTTCTTACTGCCCTTAATATTTGTGTCAGCCAAGACAGTGTGTAGTAAGGAAATAATCTGGAACCCAGATCAGTGGGAAACATGCTTTCTTAAAAATATTTCTGATGTGTTTTATGTGATATCCTTGGAAAAATAATATAACAGGGCTTGAATCAGGACTTCCATTTCCTTAAGATCAAACAGATTTGAATGTGTAACAAATAAACCCATTTATATAAGAAAATTACATCCATCAGCTTGTACATTTACAGAACATGACATATAAAACCAGGCAGAGCTCAGTTCATTTAATACACAATCACAGTCATGACCAAAGTCAAGGTTAAGTTTTGCCCATTTTGCTCTTTATTGGGGAAGAAGTATGAATTGGTGTCTAAGGACACAATCAAGGAGTGTTTATGGTTAACTCCATAGTTAAGGTCACAGAAAAGGCTTGAAAACTGGGTTTCAGAGGATTTTCATTTTTTTTAGTGGGAATTAAAGTTATGAACTGCCTTGGAGGATAACCCCAAGTGAACCACCTTTCTGATCCCCTCCGTGCTGGATCAGTACTCCTGCTTCCTGACAGAGTTTCATCTCAGTCTAAAAGTGGCAACAGCAAAATCCAAACAGGGCATTCATAAAAGTTTTGTTACTTATAGCACATTTTTGTTACACAAAGCTCACCAACAAATAGCTTCCCATGTCTGTAGAAACATCTCTGTTTTTTTATCCTAATAAATGTCAATCAGGTTTTCTAAGTTATCAAAACCTCTGCATTCCAAATAATTTTCTTTAAAACGTGGCTATCTTGATTAATGCTTTTTCTCCCCCAGAAAGTCAGTCTGTTCCAGGAAGCACAGGCTGTGTGCACAAACAAGACCCACTACTGTAATACTCCAGAACTACTGAATTTGCAACGTGATTATTCTCTTAAACCCCTATATGGATATAAGAACAAAGTATTATTAATCCTGTTGTACAGATGAGAGCTGTTGCTTGAGAACTTTAATAAAATACCCCAAGAACAGAGTCAAAGCCTGAGGGTGTCCTTGGGCTGCTTCTCTAGTAAAATGCTCAAGGTGCCCAAGACTTTTCTTCAGAAAATCTTCAGTTTGACCATGAATCATCATAAAAGACCATGTTTGGGAATGAAGCAGCAATGGTATGCAAAAGAATGAAGATTTTTTTGAAAACCTTTTGGCAAAAATATGGGTAACCTTTGAGAACTACTTTTACCATTAGAAAATGCAACAAAAAAGGTAAATCTCATCACTCCCAGCACCACTTATCCATGCTCCAATAAATAAGTAATGGTACGAGCGCCACACAGTGAAGTAGAATGTTTTTCTTGTGCTTTGATCCTAATCTCTAGAGAAATATGTTTACTTTAAGTTTGCTGGAAGCTAGACTTTGTGTTTTGAAGGTCAGCTAAGAAATCTCTGGAGATCTGATGTTATTCACTCTCGTGGAATGAAATGCTGACTCCAGCATTCCAGCTGCTAACTCCAGTCCTAGGCACAGGGAAAGACTGCCATGTTGCCCTTCCTTGGGAAAAGATGATTTTATTATTTAAATTGGAACATTTTCAATTGGAAGCTAAATACTGTTGATTTTTATGTACCTGGTTAGCAGGGATACGAGCTATCATTTTAAAGGTTAAGAATATTCCAAGAAGGTGCAGAGAGATGTTGCCAAGGACATGAGGACATTGTAACTGGAGTCCCTGGGGTCAGATTTGAGGATGCAGCAGTCTCATGGACTGAATGATAAAAGAGATGATAATACAAAAAAGTCAGTCAGCCTGCTGTTAAAGCAGATTAAGATAGAATTTAGCTACAACAAATTCAGACAGGGACTTTCTGGAGAGTCAAATTATTTCACATAAAATGCACTAGAAGACTTCCAGTGAAGACAGCTGTAAGAACATGGTTGTGAAGTTGAGTCCTGATAAATATGGAACCATCAGGAAAAGAATGTTTTGGTTTTTTTCCCATTGGAGCTAAAAAGCAGAGCCAGAAGGTTAATATACATTTCAATAATTAATCTTGATGTTTTCTATAAATATATGTTAATCTTCCTGACATCATAAAAAAATAAAAAGCCCAAAAACATTCATACTACTGAGAAAAGAATTAGTATATACATATGGATGTAGATATGTACATACAGGTAAAAGTGTTCTATCTTTCACTTTGTGGAAATTCTAATGGAATATTTCTTAATCTAAATATATCTACCACTGAACTCCATGATCTTTTTCTTTAACAACAAACTATTTCTTAGAGAGGCAGAAAGAAAAAAAAAAAAAGATGGGAAAAAATCCTTTGAACAGCACTGAAGGATAAGAAAAACAATTTGATATCTTATGATGAGGACACCCTTGCAAGTTGCCCTAGGCACTTGTTCATTTTCATGTAAGTGCATTCTTTTATCTTCTAATGCTATTTGCCTTATTTACATGAATTTGCTGACAATTTTCTCTATTTCTATTTTTGTCTCATGCATTTACATACATTAAGAGTTCTGTAATATTTGCTTTTCTAAAAATGGCTACAGAAGCAATAGAAACTAGGGGCATATATTACAGATCAAGGCAAACCAAGAACCTACTGGAAAGAAGACACAGATATTAACTCTGAGCTATCTTATCTCTGTGGCACAGGACAGTAATACAGCGTCAGGTCCTGGAAGCATCTGAGTGAGTGCAGAGTTCTCACTGTTGAAATCCTCCTTTAAGCAGCCAGGACATATGCCAAACAGGACACAGCTGTAAGAATCCAAATATTCTGCTTCATGGTCCACAAGTGACACTGTTTTGGTGGGATGTCAAGGCAAAGCAAATATTTTAGAGGTTGGTCTGGTACTGAATTGTACTGTGTTTACACACCCCATGACCACAAGCAAAAAGGGCAAGAGCTATGGCTTAACTAGGGGAACAAGTATCTCAGGAATTTTGTAATTTTTTCCTTAATTGGTATTGCTGTGTGCTTTGTTTACACCATACAAGCTCAAATGGTGTAGTCATCTAAATTCTTCCTTTTTTTTTTTTTCTGAAATAATTCTTACCCACATTTTTTACAGGTTTTCACATAGTCTGGTAGAGCCAGAGTTTTCTCCTGTGTCATTACGGAGCTCATTCCTTTCTGACTCCTGTCAAATGTATGGAATAAAATGAAGTGATGAAATAATTTGGCTGTGCACTGTTGTAACTTTCAATGTAAAATCCTGTCAGTATTCTTAGCTGTACTTTCCTTATTGAACCAGAAAACAGGTTTGAGGATTGCATCTGTTACAAA